AAGCTTGTTCTTGGAAGAGCTTTCGTGAGTATATCTGCCACTTGAGATTGTGTAGGGGTATAGATCAATTGTATTATTGAGTTGTTAATCTTCTCTGAGATAAAATGACGATCAATCTCAATATGCTTAGTCCTGTCATGGTGTACCGGATTCTTGACGATGCATATAGTTGCTTGATTATCACAGAAAAGCTTGATTGGTTTCTCACTTGTTATCCCCAATTCCTTGAGTAGTCTCCTTATCCACATTCCTTCACAAATGCCAAGGGCCAATGCTCTAAACTCAGCTTCTGCGCTGCTCTTTGAGACTACTGGTTGTTTCTTGCTCCTCCATGTGACTAGATTCCCATAAACATAGGCACAATAACCAGTTGTTGATCTTCTGTCCTTTACATCTCCTGCCCAGTCTGCATCTGAGTAGATCTCAATATCCTGATTTCCAGTCTTCCTGTATAGTATACCCTTTCCTGGTGTCATTTTTAAGTACCTCAAGATCCTATACACAGCTTCCATGTGTTCTTCTGTAGGATTGTGCATGAACTGACTTACTACACTAACTGGAAAGCCGATGTCCGGTCTTGTGTGAGAGAGGTAGATAAGCCGTCCTACGAGTCTTTGGTATCTCCCCCTATCAACTGGTGCAGACTCTATCATAGCTATTATCTTCTTAGTTGGATCCATCGGTGTGTCGACTGGCTTACACCCTAGCATTCTTGTTTCCTTTAGCAGATCTAGGACATACTTCCTTTGAGAGACAAAGATTCCTTGCTTGGATCGAGCAACCTCCATTCCGAGAAAATACCTGAGATTGCCAAGATCTTTGATTTCAAATTCCTTGGCCAGAACTGCTTTCACTCTCACTAATTCCTCCTTATAGTCACCTGTCAGAATGATGTCATTGACATATACAATTAAGACTGCCACTTTGTTTTCTGAGGAGAATTTCACGAACAATGTATGATCTGCCTGACATTGAGTGAATCCATTTCTCAGAACTGACTTTGCAAACCTGTCAAACCATGCACGAGGAGATTGTTTGAGTCCATACAAAGACTTCTTGAGTTTGCACACTTTGCTGCTTTCTACGGTTGCTTCCAGTCCTGGAGGTATTTCCATGTACACATCTTCTTCAAGGTCACCATTCAAAAATGCATTTTTTACATCCAGTTGATGTAGAGGCCAGTCCTTGTTTGCTGCAAGTGAAAGAAGGACTCTGATAGTGTTTAGTTTGGCCACCGGAGCAAAAGTTTCCTGATAATCTATTCCATAAGACTGAGTGAACCCTTTGGCAACTAGTCGAGCTTTTAGTCTCTCAATACTACCATCAGCCTTGTGTTTGATAGTAAAAATCCACTTACATCCGACGGTCTTCTTATTTGAGGGAAGATCTGTCAACACCCATGTGTTATTTTTCTCCAATGCTTGGATTTCATCATTAACTGCCTTCCTCCATTCTGTGTGTTTGAGAGCCTCCTGAATAGTGTTGGGAACCTGCATGCTATCAAGAGTAGACAAATAGGATGATTCGTGCACGTTCTGACACCTTTCCTCAAGGCAATTAGAACATCTAAATTCTCCATAGTAGGTATTGTAATATCTAAATTATCCTTACCCGAGTGAACTTGTGTAGGCATTGAATCTGGATCAGCTTCATGGTCTAGTGTAAGAGGCATTGTGTGCTCTATCTCTTTTCCAGACTTCTTCCTCCTGGAGTAAAAAATTACCTCTTTATTCTTTTCATTGTTTTGTTGAAGCTGAAGAGGTGGACTAGAACGGTTTGGACTGGGACTGTCTTGGATATGAGATAGACTTGGTGGACTCTCGGATTGACTGGTAGAATCTGTTTGAGGAGTAGGACCGGGAATGGGTAGAGATGCAAGGGGCTGAAATTCAAGATCCTAAAGCTAGAATTCTCTCATGTTCTCCCCCTGAATTACAGGTTTGGAAAAGAATGATTGGTGTTCAAAGAAGGTTACATCCATTGAGTTGTAGAACCTTTTGGTTGTGGGAGAGTAACACTTATACCCTTTTTGATGTGAGGAGTACCCGAGAAAGACACATTTTATGGATTTAGGGTCTAATTTCCCACAATGTTGAGAGTGTCTATGAACAAAGGCAGAGCATCCAAATATCTTTGGAGCTAATGATGAGATGAATTTAGTGTGTGGGAAATGTTGAAGGACAACATTGCACGGAGTCTGGATGGAACTTCAGGATTTTGGAGGGCATCCGATTAATAAGGTATGTGGCTGTGAGTATGGCCTCTCCCCAGAAATGTTTTGGAACATGAGTGGTGAACATGAGTGACCGAGCCACCTCTAATAGGTGCCTGTTCTTCCTCTCGGCAACCCCATTTTGCTGAGGGGTATCAACACAAGAACTTAAGTGGACAATCCCTTGACTCATGAGATAGGTTCCAAGAATTGATTCAAAGTATTCTTTGGCATTGTCATTTTTAAGGATTTGAATCTTGGTTTGAAATTGTGTTTGTATCATAGAATTAAAATTCTGAAAAATTTGTCCAACTTCAGACTTTTCTTTCATAAGGAATACCCATGTTAAGCGAGTATGATCATCAATAAAAGACACAAACCTCCTAGTTCCAGTGATATTTTTTACTCTTGAGGGGCCCCATACATCACTATGAATTAAGGCAAAGGGGCGAGAAGGTTTGTATGAGGAGTTAGGATAGCTACTACGAGTGTGTTTAGCAAGTTGGCAAACTTCGCAATTGAAAAACTTTGGACTTTTATTGATAAACAGTGATGGATACAAATTTCTGAGATATATGAAATTGGGATGACCAAGACGATAGTGCCATAACATAATCTCACTCTCCTTATTGACACAAGTGTTTAAACAAGACTGACTCTTGAATGATCCACCATTCTTATTCTGAGATTGCCCTCTTGAAGAAATATTATCCTTGAGGAGATAGAGCCCAAAACACTCCTCAGCACTGCCAATCGTCTTCCCCGAATTCAATTCCTAAAATTCACAAAGATTTGGAAAAAATTTAGTCACACAATTGAGATCACGAGTTAATTTACTCACTGAAATTAAATTGCAGTCCAAATTAGGAGCATGAAGAACCGAATGAAGGGTTATATCCTTAGTGACTTTCACTACTCCTGTTCCTTTAACTCTGGATGAAGAACCATCTGCTATGCGGACTGTATGGTTCTCAAGATTTGGACTATACTCGTGAAATATAGAGGCATCTCCCGTCATATGATCCGAGGCTCCTGAGTCAACAATCCAAGGATTTGTATGACATTTATTAACCGCAAAGGCATTTGAAAGATTACCTTTATGTGCTAGCATACTAGAACCCGGGTTTTTATTGCTTGTTTGGGTCATAACATTCTGGTTAAGCAGCTTCTGGAGTACCTCAAGTTGTTCCTTTGTGAAGGGGCTGTTTTCAGCCCGTGAACCAGAAGTGGTGCAGTTTTCCTTGTCACCAGAAGCGTCAGCAATATTTGGTCTAGAAGGCTTCCAATCAGATGGTTTCCCGTGAATCTTCCAGCAAGTCTCCCTGATGTGTCCTGTTTTGCGGCAATGATCACACCAAGGTCTTCCTTTTCTTTGCTTGTTGTCAGTAACACTATTCTGTGGTCCTCTAGCAGCCAAGGCGGATCCTTCCAGAGTTGGAGCGGAATTTTGAGAGCCCATCATCAGCTTTTTCCTACTTTCCTCCCGATGAACCTCTGAAAAAGCCTCCCTTATACTCGGAAAAGGCTTTGTACCCATTATCCTTCCTCTGACCTCGTCCAGATTCTTGTTGAGGCCGAGAAGAAATTTGAAGGTCCTTTTCTGCTCCACTATCTCCCGGTATAACTTTGTATCTTCACTGCACTTCCACGGATGGACTTCAAACATATCAAGATGCAGCCAATGACGAGTAAGAGTATTGTAGTATTGTGTTACCGTGAGGTCTCCTTGACGTAGATCATGAAGAGCAGCTTACTTTCAAACAGATATTTTCCGAGCTAGAGTAGGTTTGCCTCACTGCATTCCATATCTCCTTTGCAGTCCTATATAGGAGAAAATTTTCTCCTATTTCATTATTCATAGAATTGATCAACCATGACATGATCATGTGGTTTTCTGTTTTCCATGTTCTGTATTTAGGGTCTCCTTTTCCTGGAATTGTAATCTCACCAGTGAGATATTCATCTTTGCCTTTACCACAAATGAACATCATCACTGATTGTGACCATTGTAGGTAATTGTGGCCATTGAGTTTGTGTTCGGTAATGAGAGTTGATGTGTTTTCTGGTCCTCCATGGGAATTGGTTGCGGATGAAACTTCGGTGGTGGAACTATCTGCCGAGGTTGAGGTAGACTTCTCTGTTGCCATGCCGTATTTAGTCATTCAGGGAAAAAACAAAAAAAAAAACGGCGATGTGAAGTCTAGAGAAAAAGAGGAATAGATCGATCCCTAATCGTGAGAATAAGGGAGCAGAATACGAGAATAAGGCCAAGAGAGTAAGGCCAGTTGACTGGAAAAGAGGTGTCCTGCCGTGAGAGTGACTGTGAGAGGCGGCAGGGCTGAGGGAAAAAAGCGACCTGCCGTGAGAGTGACTGTGAGGGGCGGCAGGGCTGAGAGGAAAAAATTTCCAGAGATACGAGCCTAGGGCTCTGATACCATGTAGATTTTTAGGAAGAATGAATATCAATTCTTATTCCTTTAATCAGCCGGTACACATATATATACAAATAATAAAGCTTTGACTATTCTTAGGTTGTAACTAACTAAGGAAACAAACCCACTAAACTAGGAAAGATAAAATAAAGATCCGGTAGAATCCCGGATTCTCCTCCTAAGTTATATACAAGATATTAGGGATAATTCCTAGAAATCTTCCCTAATTGATTCGGAAATCTCAACAAGAAGAATAATTCAAGAATTATGATTCCATTTGTTTGTGCAAGAGTCTCTAGTAGTTGTAAGAACAAACAGTGATGCGTTATTGTTTGAATGGCAAGTAAACTTCATACCTTCTGCAAACTGCATAGATGCTCACAAACAGCATCTGGTCCACCGTTTCTTAGAAGCTGGATAGAAATGGAAGCAACACTGCTGGCTGGTATGTGGCCACCTGTTTTCTCCTCCACCCACTAAAATTTAGGTAAAGAGAGTTTCAAATTACAGCTGTTCTTAATTTCTAGAGTATATGGTGCTGCGCATTAAAATGCGACTTAATCAAAGCCAAAAATAAAAAATTAGACCTCACGGAGATTTGAAGATTTGTAGCCAAAAGCAGCATCTTTTGCAAACTCTGTGTCTCCTGCAGGGACAATCCTGCAAATCCCATCACCAATGAAGGCCTAAACTTTTAGTACAAGTCAGACTCACCATTATCCAAACAGAAAAAGGAGCAGAATATTACTTATCAGAATCTGCTACATAGTGTATATCTCCAATAGTATAACGGCCTCCTTGAAGGAAAAAGGGGCAAATGATCCATGCATCCATCTCACCTAATACTGAACTAGCTGCATCAGCTTCCTAAAACAATCGGCCAGTCTCATGTCATCGTCTTAGCTCAAAACCGCAAATCTCAAAAGTGTTTAATCTATAGAAAAATATTTAAGTCACTTGCCTCTGGGAAATGACCACGTAAAGTTGAATCCCCTCTCAAAACTACTGTATAATCAGCATTCTTGACTGATTCAGCAGCAGTATGCAGATTCCTACATATCTCTTTAATCAATGCACTGGCCTGCACTTTATGATTTTTGTGCTCATAAACATCAATGTACTTTATTACTTTCGCACTCATAAACATGATGTTTAATAATTAAAGCTACGAAGTGCATTACCTAAAACACAGAGAATTTATAATGACGTTTTGATCCTCTTTTTACAAAAAAAAAATTTTTTTCCCCTTTTTAAAAAAAAAAAAAAAAAAAAAAAAAAAAAAAAACACATGGGAATCGAGTAAATTTAAATTATTCTTGATGAAAGATCATACCTTCTCCGAACTTAATGCTCTGGAGTTGGTTAAAATGAACAAACATTTAGGGGCCTTTTTAAATTGCTCAATAAGCGATTCAACATTCCTGTGAAAAAGTAAGGAAACAATTTTCAGTGACAAAACATAACCTTCGTGAATGTCCTCTTTCCTCAACATGTGAAATTGTATGGAGGCTCTGGCACTCCGCTTATACAAAGGGCAAAAAAAGGGGCAACTTCTTGAGCAGAAACGCAGCAGCTAAACCTAAGAATAACAGATCCTATTGAACAATGTTTTGAATCAGCATACAAAGGATAGCTAGGACACTCACCATTCAGTTAACACCTCAATGTCGTGAACAGTTTGTGTTCCAGTCGGATCATCATCGAGAACGACCAAAGTCTTTGAATTGTTCTGATTTAGTCTTTGTATATCAGAAATGGGATCTACTGGCCACTCAGATGGAAGGGATTCCAAGATGGCTTCCTTTTTAAGCAAGGGAAGTTTTCCCTCAACCTTTACGCCTGTTATGTTCTCATAGACCTGAAGACATAAATAATATTTGTAAACCTATAACTGGCGAGTCAAAACCAGCTGATCTTTATAGCTTAAGCATTCTATTGAACAGTGTAATATTCGAATCATGTTCTGCAGGCTAAAAAAAAATAAAAAATCCCCATCATGCAAAATTTTGGAAGGCTAAAGATGGTAAGAGCTCTTCAATATTACTGAACTGCAAGCCTCTCTATTAAGAGTAAAATTTGTACTGTTGTCCATGAATGTGCTAGACTTAATAGCTATTAGATAGAAATAACAGCATGAGCAAAAATAGTAAATAAAGTTACTATGTCTTTCTCCCAATCGAATACTAACTCATCAATTTTGTCCTAATATCTTTAAAATAAAAAAAAAAATAAAAAGATAACTCTTATTGATAATCATGAATTATTTTTATTTTTTATAAGAAACAAAATTTTATTGAAAAAAAGATAAAAATAAAGGGTACAACAGATGATCATAATTCATGATTATTAATATAATTCATGATTATGCATGATTATATTAATAATCATGAATTATGATTCGTGTGTTAACACAACATATAACATTGGTGGAAAGCAACCTTTGCCAACCCATGCTTAAAAAGAAATAAGGTCCAAATTCCCCTGCATGATAAAATTGAATCCCCAACTAAGATAAAATATAGCAATGGATAATGGAGGAGTAGGATATAATCTGGAAAAGAAACATAAGAGAAACAGTCTGCAGACAAAGTATTTCCTTTTCGAGAAAAAACTGACAACGAAAACATTGAACTTCGGAATGTACTTCTAAACTTCACTTGATATATCTAGTTAAACCTTTCTTCTATGTTCCTTATGCTATCTCCAGCTGAAAGCAAAAGGCAAATATAAGGCTCCATTTGGTATGAGGGTTCAAATCAGGGTGATTCTGATTTTGATTTTAGAACCAGATCCATGATTCATAGTTTTTAGGTCCAATCATGGTTCTAGAACCAGAACCAGAATCAGGGGTTTGAACCACTCAAAACCAAGGGGAGGTAGTTTTAAAACCAGGGGTGATTCTGGTTTAAAACATCACATCAGGTTCAACCTCGAACCAGAACCATTTAAACTAAACACTAGTTTTCAAATATTGAACCAGAACCGTTTTTTACTTTTTTGCAAACAATCAAAGGTTTGAATCAGAATCATGATTCTGGTTCTAGAACCCTCAAACCAAATGCTACCTAAATGGTTCATACCTTAACGACACCAGCATCATCTTGCCGTCCCCAACCTCCAGCAGAACCTGCTAAATAGTTGCATCAAATATTAGGTACTATATCCAACCTAACCACTTATATGGAACCTGTTAGAATATTACATTATTTTTGGCTCCCCACCACCTAACAGCTTAGGATTTCAAGAGAATAGGCAAACTAATATATAAGGTTCTATGTGCAAACCCCTCTAAGTGTACTCTCTAAACTTGTTATCAGTATTGGAAATTTCACATGTTCAAACATATGATTAAATGTTCACGTGTTGGGCCTTCTAATTATTATTTTCCTCCACCATGCGTGACGCGAGTATTAGAATATTAAACTATTGTTGACAGCCTTCTAACAACTTAAGCTTTTGGAAGAATCAGTAAACTTACTTAACAATATAACAAGGAAAGCTGTCACTTCCCCATGGGAAAAAGAAAATAACCACCAAGGCATGATTGAGACACTATGTGGGCAGTTACAGGTCATTTTTTTAATAGCTGTTTATTCTGGCCAGCTTCATTCATAATGATGTTTATCATTGTCCACTATCTATCATAGAGTTATGAGAGATGTCATAGAAGGTGAAGAACAATGAAAAAATGACAACCGTATGAATTCTAAAAATAAAAAATTACACAGCACCTGAGATGAACAGTTGGTGTGCAACTGTTGAAATATGAAGCGGAACTCTTCGAGACGAGCATTCACGAGAAACAATTCCCTATAGATGATTACAATATGACCAGATCAGTCTGCTAAATGCTAAATCGCATGAGGAATTTATAGCAAAAACACTGCATGGGACTTATCAATCTCACCAGATCCTTCACAAAGATATCGAGTGCAGAATAAGGTGTATAATCATTATCCAGCATGTGTGGAACACGATTTTCAAACATCCTGCAAAGATAAACATAATAAATAGGGATACATGAAGCTGCACATCTCATGACAAAAATATAAGTGAATTGAGTATAAAATTTTTTTGATAAGAAACGAAAAATTTTATTGAAAAAAATAAAGAAACAAGAAGAACAAGAAGAGTATACAAAAGGGGACCACCAATTGATGCAACTTGGCATGCAATCAATAAAGCTAATTAAAGCAAGAAAAAAAAAGAAATTAAATGTTACAACGTCGCACAAGTTATAACAAAATTATGAAGAAATGATAAAGAGTAATCACTTGTAGTGGAAGGAATGGTGAGGAAATTTAGGAAGTAATCCTCTGATTTTTATTCATTGATTAACGGGTATATATTTACACATAAGAGGAGCTAACCCTAGTCCACAAAATCAGGAACTAACAGATCTTATCTCTGAAATTTAAACTAAGATTACAATATATGTGAATACTCCTAATATCCAGGATATAACAAGAATCCTAACGTCTAGCTTGATTTTCTACACTCCCCCGCAAGCTGGATGGTATATACTTGACATGCCTAGCTTAGAACTCAACTCGTGAAAGTTAGGACAATGAAGAGCTTTAGTCAAAATGTCTGCTGCCTGGTGCTGTGAAGGAACATGTCTTAAGGAGATCACTCTGCTTTCAATCTTCTCACTGATGAAATGCCTGTCTATCTCAACGTGCTTCGTCCTGTCGTGGTGTACCGGGTTCTTTGCGACGGCTATAGCTAATTGATTGTCACACAACATTTCTATAGGTCCATCTATCCTTACTCTAAGTTCTTCCAGTAGTCACTTTAGCCAAATGCCTTAACAGATTCCATGGGCTAAGGCTCAAAACTCAGCTTCGGCGCTGCTGCGTGCAACTACTGCCTACTTCTTGCTACGCCATGTTACCAGATTTCCCCACACATATGAACAGTAGCCTGAGATTGATCTTCGATCTATAGGGGATCCGGCCCAGTCTGCATCTATGTAGACTTCAAGAGTCCTAGTGGAAGTTTTCCTAAACATTAATCCCTTTCCAGGATCCTTCTTGAGATATCTCAGTATCCTGTACACGGCCTCCATATGCACCTCAGAGGGATTATTCAAGAACCGACTGACTACACTGACTGCAAAACTTATGTCAGGACGGGTATGAGCTAGATAGATTAGTTTTCCCACCAATCGCTGGTATCTTCCTTTGTCGACTGCTACTCCATCGGCTTGAGCTCCTATCTTGGTGTTTGGGTCCATAGGTGTTCCAACTGGTTTACACCCGATCATGCCTGTTTCCTTTAGGAGGTCTAGAACATACTTTCGTTGCGAGACTGATATTCCTTTGCTTGATCTGGCCACTTCCATCCTGAGAAAGAACCTTAGAAGTCTGCGATCCTTAATTTCGAACTCTTTGGAGAGCAAGAGTTTGAGATGTTTAATTTCTTCTTCATTGTTTCTGGTGAGCACTATGTCATCGACAGATACAATGAGCACTGTGAGTCTTTCATCTGTTGAGTGTTTCACAAATAAAGTGTGATCCGCTTGGCATTGAGAGTATCCATCTCGTCTTAGAACCCTTGTAAATCTATCAAACCAGGCTCGGGGTGATTGTTTGAGGCCATACAATGACTTCTGGAGTTTGCAGACTTTATCCTTTGTGGAGTTGTTCTCAAATCCCGGAGGTAACTCCATGTATACTTCCTCTACAAGATCTCCATTTAGAAATGCATTCTTCACATCGAGTTGAAATAATGGCCAATCTCGGTTCACTGCTATGGACAATAGGACCCGGATAGTGTTTAGCTTAGCAACCGGTGCGAATGTCTCTTGGTAATCGATTCCATAGGACTGTGTAAAACCCTTGGCCACCAGGCGGGCCTTGAATCGTTCCACACTTCCATCTGCCTTGTGTTTTACCGAGAAGAGCCATTTGCATCCTACAGTGCGTTTTCCCGGTGGGAGCGTGGTGAGAATCCAGGTTCCATTCTTCTCAAGTGCTCGGATTTCTTCCAAGGTTGCTGCTTTCCATTCAGGCACTTGTAAGGCTTCATGAACGGAATTAGGAATCTGGACTTGATCCAAAGATGACACAAATGCCCTATCACCCGGGGATAGGTTGGAATATGTCATGTAGTTGTGAAGAGGGTGTTGAGTGCATGAGCGGACTCCTTTCCTTTCCGCAATTGGCCTATCTAGATCCGAGCCGTGATCTGTAAATTTTTCAGCCAGAGGAACATGAGTAAGTTTTTCCTTACCTTGCGGTTTTTCAAGGACAGTTGGAGCCGGATTAGACTCCTGGTTTTGCTGAGTTTGTACAGGCTCTTCTTGTCGGCGCCTTCTTCTTGAGTAGACAATAATCTCTTTATTTACTGTAGTGTGACTTGGGAGATGAGTAGGACTTAATAGATTTAACTCAGGATTTACAGGTTGAGATTCGGTTGGTAGAGGGTTTGCCAGTATGGGAGGTGTCTCGGCCAGTATGGGAGGTGTCTCGGCTAAGGGTGTCTCGGCTGAGGGCAGGGTTGGTAGAATAGTGGGAGTATCAGTGGTGACATTGGTTGGATCGGAGATTGTATCAATAATAGAGATCCAATTCTGTGATTCTTGCACATTGCTCTCCCCCTGAATTGCAGAATTGGGGTAGAAAGGTTTGTCTTCGAAGAAAGTTACATCCATGGAGTGGAAGAACTTTTTGGTGTTGGGGCAGTAACATTTGTATCCTTTCTTGTTGGGTGAATAGCCCAGAAAGATACACTTTGTAGTTCTCGCATCAAGTTTTCCCCGATGTTGTGAGTGGATGTGAGCAAACACTGTGCAACCAAAAATCTTAAGTGGCATTTGAGAAATGAGGTGAGAATTAGGATATGCGTCAAGGAAGGTCTGGCTTGGTGTTTTGTAGTTTAAGATTCGGGAAGGCATTCTATTAATGAGATAAGTCACGGTGAGAACAGCTTCGCCCCAGAATCTTTTGGGAACGTTGGAAGTGAATAACAAGGAACGAGCAACCTCAAGTAAGTGGCGATTCTTACACTCGGCCACTCCATTTTGTTGAGGTGTGTCGACGCAGGAACTTTGATGGACAATACCATGAGACTGCAAGTAAGGGTCAAGGACAGTGTTAAAGAAATCTCGGGCATTGTCAGTTTTGAGGACCTGAATATTTGCATGGAATTGGTTTTGGATCATGGTATGAAAGTTTTGGAAGATTTGGCTAGTTTCGGATTTATCTTTCATGAGAAATACCCAGCTTAGCCGTGTATGATCATCAACCAATAGTAAGAACCATCGAGCCCCTGAGATATTTTAGATTTTTGAAGGCCCCCAGATATCCCCATGAATGAGGGAGAATGGATGAGAAGGTTTGTATGGTCGTGGAGAATATGTACTGCGAGTATGTTTGGGTAGTTGGCAAACATCACAGTGGAAAAATTTAGAAGTTTTATTATTGAATAATGATGGAAAAAGACGTTCAAGATACATAAAATTTGGATGACCTAAGCAATAGTGCCACATCATAATAGCACTATCTTTATTAGAATGACTCATTGACTCTTGACTGCTGCCGGGTTGACTCTGGGGACTAGCACTAAGTGCATTACATCTCGGGTTTGTTGGTGGATTGTCAAATTTGAGAAGATATAGGCCTGCACAAAGCTCAGCATTGCCAATCGTCTTCTCCGAATCCAAGTCCTAAAATACACAAGATTTAGCAAAAAACTTAGTCTCACAGTTTAAATCTTTATTGAGTCTGCTAACAGATAGTAAATTGCAGTCAAGATTAGGCACAAAAAGAACTGAGTGAAGGGTCAGATTTTGTGAAAGCTGGACAGTGCCAGCTCCAGCAACTGTAGAGCATGAGCCGTCGGCAATACGGACAATGAGAGTGCTCGGACATGGACTGTAGGAGGATAACAGGGTCCTATCACCTGTCATGTGATCAGATGCGCCAGAATCTACAATCCAGTGGGTTGAGGGTGCCTTTGCGGCATGAAAGGCCAGAGTGTTATTACCACGCTGAGTGACTCCCCCTGTGCCAATCACTGACGGGTTGGTGGAGTGATGAGCCTGACTAAAATCAAGTGCTGCAGCATCTCAAGTTGATTCTTGGTGAATGGAGCTTGACTTGGGCTTTTGGATTCTTCAGCAGAAGCAACGTTTCCACGGCTCTCATGATCACCGGATGTGTGGTTGGGCTTCCAATCTGCAGGTTTTCCGTGCAGCTTCCAACAGGTTTCTTTGACATGGCCTGGTTTGCGCACCAGTGATCGCACCAGGGTCTTCCCTTGCGTGGCCTATTATCACTGCGATTCTGAGGAGGTCCACGTACAGCATGTGCAGAAGAGTCTTGGGCTGTGGAACTGTCCTTGTGGGTTACTAAGGCTAGCCCCTCTACATTCCCAGGCACCCCTGGTTGCCCCATCATCACTCTCTTCCGGCTTTCTTCTCTGCGGACCTCAGAGAAAGCCTCTCGGAGACTTGGTAAAGGCTTGGTACCTAAGATCCGGCCACGAACATCATCGAGAGCTTTATTGAGGCCCATAAGAAATTTAAAAACACGCTTGGTTTCCACGATTTTCTTGAAGCGAGTACTATCATCAGGGCACTTCCACTCGATTTATTCAAAAAGATCTAGTTGTTGCCAATAACGGGTGAGACTTGTGAAATAGGCAGTAATAGGGAACTCGCCTTGTCTGAGATCGTGCAGAATACTCTCAATATGGAAGAGTTCAGCAGTGTTTTCACTGCTGGAGAAAGTGTCATGGGCTGCATCCCAGATTTCCTTTGCAGTGGAGTAAAGGAGAAAATTCTCGCCAATTTCTGTAGTCATGGAATTGATCAGCCATGACATCACCAGGTTGTTCTCAGCTCTCCACACCCTGAATTGGGGATCATCTGGTTTTGGTTGTGCAGCGGCTCCAGTGAGGTAGTCATCACGGCCTCGGCCACAAATAAACATCATGACGGACTGAGACCATTAAAGGTAGTTATGACCAGTGAGTTTATGACCGGTCACAGGGATAAGGCTGCCTTCCGATGGGACTGGATTATTCAGGGATGGAAGAGCAGTGGATGAGGTACCACTAGTTGTGGAGGTTTGTTCAGATTCCGCCATTGAGGATCAAGGGAAAGAAAGAGAGAGAGAGAAAAAAAACTTGAGAGGAAGAGAGAGAGGAAAAAAAAATTGAGAGGAGGACTGCCGGTGATGGTCAGCAAGCGGAGAACAGCTTAGTGACCAGAAGAGGAACGGCGGCAGAGTTAGGGCTCAGAGTTGCTCTAATACCATGAGGAAATTTAGGAAGTAATCCTCTGATTTTTATTCATTGATTAACGGGTATATATATACACATAAGAGGAGCTAACCCTAGTCCACAAAATCAGGAACTAACAGATCTTATCTCCGAAATTTAAACTAGGATTACAATATATGTGAATACTCCTAATATCCGGGATATAACAAGAATCCTAACGTCTAGCTTGATTTTCTACAAATGGTAGCACAGGATATCATGCTAGCGAAGAGTGAATGCAATTACCACGACGTTCCCCTGCTACTTGTGATGACATCAAACAATGTCCTCGTATTAAGACCTAATCGGGCTCCAAATGCCATAGCCTCAGCTGCTGATGCTATATGAACTCCAGCAAGCAATTGATTGACCATCTTTACGACACTAGAAAACAGAGCATAAACAGAAATAAATAAATAAAAATAAGTAAATAAAATAAATGAAAAAAGAATAATAAAGAAAAAGAATAATAATATGAATGAAAGATGCCAATCTTTAAGTGCCATGTGACGTTGTATTACTCCTATCATCACCAGAATGTAAATGCGTGAAAAACAAACGTTGAGTCAAAAATACCTTGCAGCCCCACAACCTCCTTTGATAATGTAAAGCTTCTCACTTAGTTCTGTAAGCAATGCATAAGGTGCCATTTCAAAGTTATTTTTCAAATTCCTGAGACTGGATAATTAAAAAATGTGCTCTTCAGCTGGCTCTTACACAATATCCATAGTACCTGACAGAACTAAACCAGCACTCTTGAGAGCCTCATCTGCACCGGATGCCATTATCTGAAAAGGTACTTAAGTTTAGGAAATAGCAGTTAAATAAAATAAACAGGTGTTATTTTTGTAAACTGAAAAAGTTGTTTTTCCCAACCGTTAATGTTCCCAGGGAGGCTCTCTTAACACCACCGGAAACAGGTGCATCAATCAGTTTTAAATTCTTGCCTTCATCTGTATGCAGATACATATTTTCACAAAGAAAGCACTATTACATGGCACGAAAAATAAAGAGCATGTAACAAGAACTACATAAGAAAGGACATGGTTCATTGCATGACATTGAAACCCAAAGATTATAAGCATAATATATATATGTGTGTGTGTGTGTGTGTGTGTGTACGTATATAGGTATATGTGAACACACACGCGAAGAAAACAGAGAACAGGGAAAAGCACTGCTTTATTTCTTATTCTTTCTTATTCATAGAATGAGGTACAGTCGGCCATATAAAGGCACAGAAACAGAGCATAAAAAAGGAAAGAAATAAAAGAGAATAATCCTTTATGTATAAATGTAGGTTAATTATAGATCAAAAGAAGGAAGTCCAGTTCATAGAAATAACATGGAAAGTCTAGACTAATCCTTTATGTATAAATGTAGGTTAATTATAGATCAAAAGAAGGAAGTACAGTTCATAGAAATGACATGGAAAGTCTAGAAGTAGAAGTACTTAGCAAACGTTGCTCTAGTTGGCTCACAAATGCAGGAGACACGGTTGATGAAAGGACGACAGATGCTCCAGAAGGAAGAGCTGTTAAATGTAACATGTAGTGTTAGCGTCAATAACAAAAATATAGATGGAATTTTAAGAAGTACTTGTGCACCTGAAACAGCTCCAGAATCTCCATATAAAGCATTCTCAGCTTGAGTTTCATTTGTGACCATGACTACAAGCACATCGACATCTACAAGAGACATACAAAAAAAAAAAAAAAAAAAAAAAAAAAAAAAAAAAAAAAAAAAAAAAAAAAAAAGAAAAAAAAGGTTTTCATTTCTTAATTGCAACTTAAATTTTTAACTTTCTCCAATTAACGGCAGTGTAGGAGAAACAAGCAATTCATAATCTATAAGTTAGAAAGTGAAGCATTCTAGTAACTGATACCAGGCTGCAAAAATTTTATCCCATTTTTCTTTCCTCCTCCTAATTATCTTTTAGGTGAAAAGTTGAGAATTTCTAGGCGTCTTTAAGTTAAGAACTAATGATTAATGCAAAAATCTGCAAATATAAGCATCATAATTTCATTTCTTCTCTTGCTAGAAGTTCTTACTAATAATATCAATGCCATCCACAAATGATAGAGGATGCACATTGTCCATCCATTTAACTTTTTGAATATGAAGTGAAAAGTCCTTTAAGGACCAATAAGCAGGGTGGATCCGGTTAGGGGGAAGAAGGAAAACAAAAACAGTGCAAAAATTATACTATTGAGTGTTCAGAAATTAGTTTTACATATATTTACACATTTCAATTTATCTCCCTCAATTTACCTTTTGAAACTTCTGCCGGAGAGTTCCCAATCAAACCGCCAATGTTGGCAAATCTCATTAGTGTTGGTTTATATACCTGCATCAAAGGAAAGATACATAGATTGATCAATAACAATGGCGTTTTCAAAATACAAGCTCAATCTGCTAAACCTGTGTCATTACTTTGTCATGAAACCAAATGATACCAAAAGCTTAAGCTATGTGGAGGGGACCAATAGTAGTTTTTATATTTCAACACTCCCCTCAAATGTGGGCCGGAAAATGGGCAATCGTGTGGGTAAGGTAAATTAATTGGAAAAACCAACATGTGAAAATTAAATAATAAGCCCGAGACATATTATAGACTGAATACATCATGACAACTTAAAGGAAATAAAAATTGCAATAAGTTTGAACTCTGGTTCTCCTACTCTAATACCGTGTTAGTTTACCAATCCACCCAAAAGCTTAAGCTATTAGGAGGTGGACCAACAACAGATTTAATATTTCAACATAGGTTTAGAAAAAAGTAAAGTATAGTTGAATTATACATCCACACCCTAAAAGAAATCCATGCTTTTGCACGTAAAACCAAGCATAAGCATGTAGCTAAAAAGACATACTTTCAGGATGTGCAAAAAGTATCAGTTTAAGAACCACCTTTTTTTCCATTTAACACATAAAGATACGATTGATCCAATAACTCTACAAGAAATTATCTGAATTGAGGATAAGAAATAGAGTGCTGATGATTCTAGTAACTGTTATATAAACAACACTTTGCTTACGATAAAAGAAGAATAACTACCACTTACGGCACTATCCCGAACTTATAGACTTGCAGGATAAGTTGAACCAGGCCTTGCCAGAAAACTGGTCTCATTAGTGCTTTGTTACATGTATAGAGATGTAAAGGAGTTTTATCTTACCCTTCATGGATTGAGAAATGAAGCTAGGCTTAGATGTCGGACGGGATTGCCCCAACTAAACATTAAGTATTATAATCAGGAACTCAAAAAATCCAGAAAGTTGAAGAACAGAAATTACATCATAACCAACGACTGAACAGTTTGATTTCAAGAGGTGAGATGCCATGCCAAATCCCATTGCTCCAAGCCCAATAAAACCAATCCGGTTTACAGAATTTGAACTGGCTGTAATTTGCCTTGCTAGCTCCTCGGGGCTGTAAGTTTCAGCATTCACTGCATCTGAAATATTTACTCCAAATACTCTTTCACAAGCCTGTGAAATGTCGTAGAACATAGTGTGTATCATGAAGTGTAAATTCTAAACATAAAAAAGGATCTTCTGAGTGATTTGATCCCTAATATAGCATGAACTCTATCCACCAAATCTTATGAAAAATTTCATTTTGCAAATATAAAATAACCTTAAGAAAAGAAGCATCTTCGTCATCTCCAACAATTGAAGATCCTGAAAAAGGTAAAGTGTAATATCCATGATAATCAACTATTACAACTGATATGGTGATTGAGAACTGTACAAATGTTCAAAGATAAATACCATGAATTAATTGCTGATGAGCAACTGCCAGAAGTGGGAGGGGAAAAACAAGTGATTTTGCCTGATCCAGAATAGTAACCTAAAATGTGGAAATTCAATGAAGACCATGTAATGTAATCAGAGGAAAAAATTAAATTAAAGGTGCCAGGGAGAAGAGACTACAAATGGTTTGTAATTCACGATTCAACTTCCTCTAGCAAAAATTTTTCATAGATACCATAATTTGCTTTGGACTTACAAGATTATCACATTTCTTTGCTGATTAGGGAACTGATCTCTATCTTCTAGTTGTTTTCTTTCGTTTGAGTTTCATCACTTAAGGACAGTTCTCTGGTAACGTTCTTGTTTTCTTTCTTTTCTTGAAAGAGCACAAGAACTACACCCTAACCATATTTGAAATTGTGCAGAGCTAGGGAGCTCGCGCAATACTAACAGGGGATGGGCCCCACAATGGATGGGGCTGAGCTCCTATTAGTTACGATGCCAGGCTCGTAGAGACCCCAAGCATTTATGTTTCAAATGTGGTTGCCAACAAGAATATATCACTATCATTCCTATTTTCTACTAGGAATCATGTGTTTCTAGTTTAAGAAAATCGGTAAATGATACGTAGAACAACCAATACCAATCAGTAAGAATAGGTTTTTTAAGATGTGTAGAGAGAGAAGCTCCTCCTTCTCTCTAGAAGTTTAATGGTCTTAGTTTCTAGTCTTAGTCTAACCAATATCTTAAAACTTTGATCAGGATTTTAGAACTAAGCATAAAGTTTTCATTTTTAGATTGAACAATTTAGGGAGTGAGATTGAGATCACTGAGAGGAACAGAGCGCAAAATTTCTCAATGCAAGTGGACTTGGGTTGTGCAGCGTGGCTGTGTACAGAAGTCAACGAAGCTCTAACCAAGGGAAAGGAGGGAGGTTTTAGAAGATTATACAGAGGGTCAAGCTACAGATTAATATTGGAATGCAGCAGAAATAAAGGAGGGAACTTCATGAAGATTTCAAAGATAATGAACGGAGGTATAAGAAATATAGTGCACGTTTGGAGGTGGTTCCGAAAACGTTGTTCACGTTTTTCGAGGAAAAAATGAAAACAAGTAGAAAATTGCGTTTGGAGCAACTAAAGACAAAAAACAGAGGAAAATACAGGTACTGATTTCTCCCAAAACAGGAGAGTTTCTGAAAATGAATTTTTATCGTTTTCATTTTCTTGTTTTCATGTTCTCAGATCCATCTTTCCATCTAATCCTGAACCAAGTCTCAGATATTGCTTGCTTGTGAGATAGATTAGGAAAGTAGTTTATTTTTTAAATAAAAGAGATTCCTTAAAATAAGGATCTCCTTTAATTGAGGGATTTCTATACCTAATTAGGTGGTATGTTTTCCCTATAAAAGCCATGTAAATGTTGTACAGTTTAAAAGAGCAATATACAATTTTTCTGCCCCAGAAACCCACATGGTACTAGAGCTGTCCTCTCCTTGATGGCTGAAACGGCAGCTACAAAGGAAAGGAGATCCTCGGCTTCATCTAAGGGAGAGAGCTCTAATATTGGTGAACCATACCGAACCACCATGAATCGCGGGGGGCATTCTTCTCATATTTCGTTCCAACTAACCCTCCACAAATTGAATGGGAAGAACTACTTGGAATGGGCGCAATCCATGAAGCTGGCTATCGACGGCAAGGGAAAGCTAGGCTATTTGACTGGAGACGCGGAGAGACCTAAGGCTGAAGATCCGAAGCTGAGTGCATGGAGATCCGAGAACTCATTGGTCATCGCCTGGTTGATCAATTCCATGGCCAACGATAGGTAAACCGTACCTTTTTCTCCCCACTGCTAGAGATGTTTGGGAAGCGGTTAGGGAAACCTATTCCGATGCCGAAAATTTTTCACAAATTTTTTAACAAAAAATTAAGTTGTGGAAGTCTAGGCAAGGTGAACGTGAAGTGACTGCCTTTTACAATGAGATGGTGTCTCTGTGGCAAGAATTAGATCAATGCTACAATGATGAATGGGATAGTCTAACCGATAGTGTTAGGTTTATGAAGAAGGAAGAGAGTGATCGGGTGTATCTTTTCTTAGCAGGCCTAAACCAGGAATTTGATATTGGTTGTGGAAAGAATGCGGTTCAATATTGTCTCTAGGATTCTTGGAAGAAAACCCTTGCCTACACTTTGAGAGGCTTTTTCTGAGATTAGGAGAGAAGAGACTAGGAGGAAGGTTATGCTGAAAAACGATTCCGAAGTGAAACCAACCATTGGTGCTATCAATGACAGTTCGGCCTTTGTTTCAAGGAATGAATTAGAGAATGACAGGAAGAAGAAACCGTGGTGTGATCATTGCAAGAAACATTGGCATACATGGGAAAATTGCTAGAAACTCCATGGGAAGCCTCCGAATAGGAAGAAGAAGAATGTTCCAGACAATCGGGCACTCCAAGTATCCACTGAGAACAGGGGCAGCAAAGTACTCCAGAATCGCTTCCTTTCACAAAGGATCAACTAGAGCAATTGCACAAACTTCTCCAATCTCCTCAGTTCCGAGTAAACCCATCAAATTCTTCCAGTTCCTTTGTCCAAACAGGTAAACCTGTCTCTGTCCTTGTCTCGGTTTTTTCCAGCAGCAGCCCCAGTCAAAATAGTTTCTGGATCATAGATTCAGGGGCTACTAATCACATGACAGGTTGTTCCCAGTTTTTTTCCACCTATACTCCATGTGTAGGAAATAAAAAGATAAGAATCGCTGATGGCTCATTCTCGGCAGTTGCTGGAATAGGAATTATCAACATAAATCCCTCTATAATCCTGCATGATGTCCTTCATGTCCCTAACCTTTCTTGTAATCTTGTGTCAATTAGTAAAATTACTAACACTCTCAATTGTTGTACTGTTTTTAACTCCTCTCGGTGTGAGTTTCAGGAAATGGTCTCGGGGAGGACGATTGGCAGTGCTAGGGAAAGTGGAGGACTCTATTTCCTTGAAGGTGGAAGCAACTCTGGACAGCAAGTTCAAAATACTTGTTTGAACTCTATTTCTGTTTCTAATAATGTTATGCTTTGGCATTATAGACTAGGACATCCAAGTTTTTAGTACTTGAAACACTTGTTACCTAATTTATTTTGAAATAAAATCCATCTTCTTTTCGATGTGAAATATGTGAATTGGCAAAACATCATCGCTCTTTTTTCCCTTCAAGACCATATCAAGCTTCAAAACCTTTTTTGTTAATTCATAGTGATGTTTGGGGACCATCTAGAGTCACAACAATGTTTGGCAAAAAATGGTTTGTTAGTTTTATTCATGATCACACACGGCTTAGTTGGGTTTATTTATTAAAGGATAAATCTGAGGTAAAAGAGATTTTTAAGGTGTTTTATACAATGGTTGAGACACAATTTCAAGAAACAATCAAAGTGTTCAGAAGTGACAATGGGAGAGAATACTTTTAATGAAGTCCTAGGGGATTATTTTTCAAAAAAGGGGATAATACATCAAAGCACATGCCTAGATACACCCCAACAAAATGGGATAGCAGAACGTAAAAACAAACATATCTTAGAAGTCACTAGGGCACTACTTTTCACTCATCATGTCCCTAAGTATCTTTAGGGAGAAGCACTTTTAACTACAACATACCTCATAAACCACATGCCTACAAAAATCTTGAACTTCAAAACTCCTCTTAATACCTTTAAAGATGCCTTTCCAACTTCAAGATTGATGTCTGATTTACCTCTAAAAGTATTTGGTTGTAGTGCCTTTACCCATATACATGACCAAAATAGGGGAAAATTAGATCCTAGAGCTCGGAAGTGTGTTTTTGTAGGCTATGCTCCACACCAAAAGGGGTATAAATGCTATGACCCAAGAACAAGAAAAATGTTTGTTACTTTAGATGCAACTTTCTTTGAAGATCAACCATTTTGTGATAATCATCTTCAGGGGGAGAGCCTAAGTGAAGATTATTCTGATTTTCTTGATTTCCTTGGCACATCTGATAATGTTCAAAGTCCAAATTTCATAATAAATGTGGAACCTAGTGATTTGACTAATGAAAACTTGGATGCTGGAACTATAGAGCCATCTCATAATATTAGTGGACATTGAAGTAATGAACAAACAGGTACAAAAAAGCTACTTGTCTACTCAAGAAGGAACCGGAAGCAAGGAAATAAGACTGACACTTCCCAACACTGTCAAGAGTCTACACCTCAGATCATTCAAAATTCTATTGATGTTCCAGGTAATCCTCATAAAGCCCCCACTCACATAAATCTTCCTCATCAAGAGTCCAGTCAGTCCGTACCTACTCCCATAAATCCTCCACATCAAGAGTCCGCACCTGTGTCTGAACTTGACCTTCCAATTGCTCAACGTAAAGGTGTCAGAAGTTGTGTCAAGTATCCAATGTCCAATTTTGTTACTAGTTTTTTCTGCGTTTGTCTCACAATTATCTAGTGTGGAGATTTCAAAGAATGTGCAAGATGCTCTAGAGGTTCATGAATGGAAAGGAAGCTATTCTTGAAGAAATGAAGGCTCTTGAAAAAAATGGAACATGGCAGGCAATGGAGCTGCCGAAGGAAAAGAAGACAGTTGGCTACAAATGGGTGTTCACAACCAAGTTTATATCCGATGGGTCCTTAGAAAGATACAAGGCTCGCATGGTGGCTAAGGGGTTCACTCAAACGTATGGTTTGACTACCTTGAGACCTTTGCACCCGTGGCAAAGATGAATACTGTCAGAGTGCTTTTAACAATTGCAGCTAATCTAGACTGGCGACTTCAACAACTAGATGTGAAGAATGCATTCCTCAATGGCGACTTCGAAGAAGAAGTCTATATGGATCCACCTCCAGGTTTTGAGAAGAAGTTTGGCTCAAAGGTATGCAAACTAAGAAAATCCCTGTACGGCTTAAAACAGTCACCGAGAGCTTGGTTTGAGAGGTTCACTGAGTTTGTAAAAAAACAAGGATATGCTCAGGGACAAGCACACCACACCATGTTCACAAGGTACTCAGCTGGTGAGAAGATAGCTATTCTTATAGTTTATGTTGATGACATTATTCTTACTGGGGATGAC